TGCTCCGGCCAACCGACTCCGGAGAAGAAACCGAGAGGATTACGCTAACATGGTGTGGAACACATCGCTGCGATGCTCAACACCATGTTTGCCAAGCACCCGTAGCCAACTTCGGAACCGGGTAGCCGAGCAGCCTTCACCATTGTAAACAGCGGAAATCCCTCGGCCGAGCCGCCAACAGTGCAGGAAGACTCGGATTTGACTAGGTACGGGAGCCGACCACAAAGGTCGACTTCGTACTTTGCCCATAACTTGGAGACATAATGGATACTGCTGCGCAAGTCGACCACAAAGGTCGGTTGTGCAAGCCGATCACAAAGATCGGTTTTGGAGAACCAAACAGTTCGAACCGCAACGATGCAGATCGTTAAAACCACGATTCGCTACCTCTAGACGACCACAAAGATCGACTGAGTATGGTAGCCGACCGACAGAAGTCGATTATGGAGAATGGATGGAAGCTGGCAGTAGTCACGTGATAATTCAACCGGATTCTCCGTTTGAATCCAGACCTACAGGCTCTGTACCTGGAGATCAACCGCAGTCTCCCCCGGACGACATCGGGTAAACCAGCCGATTCACCGGTGACCACGACTACGCGCGTCTTTGAACGTGCTGCCATTCCCTGAAGAGGAACAGCGACGGTGATTTGGATACTGGTGTACCAACGACTCCGCCGCGACCTGCTTCATGTCTCCAATGGAACATCCTAGGCAGACCCAGTTAGAATACTTGATCTGCAACCCTTAACGAACCCCGATGACGATGACCACCTGCCCGCAACAGTACCGGCCAGTCGGTCTTCGTCAGCGGCAAAGAAAATTTCCCGCGGACGTGAGTCGTCTACCCCAACAGAAGCGGCTAGGCGTCACAGGTTCGCGACAAAACAGAATGGAAGAATCGGATCTGACGACCCCAGGGACTTGCATGTGCATGAACTTTAAACCAAAGAGCTTGTCTTGTCAACCGGGGCCACAAAGACCCTTAGCGTTGTAAGCGAGCGCAGTGCATGATGAGACGCCAGCCAACCGGCCAACAGATGCCAAGAAACTCCTACCTCACAGGACTTGGCGACCCAGAAGCAAGCAATTCGGATTGACCGACCTCAACAGTAGCTCGGATCCGACCTGGAGTTCACGTCAGAAATCACAGAAGGAACGGAGTTGTGTTGCCGAACATCCCTCTGCCAGTCCGAACTGACCGAAGGATGTCCTGACACCAAGGACCCGGCCAACTGTAGCCGAACGCACAGAACTCCTAAAATGAAGTCGACAACCATCAGATGGAGGTCGGAAGTAGGCGACAACAAGTCGGAAAATCAACCAGAAGTACGAAATCGACCTCCTAGTGGAAGAATTTAGCCTTTCGTCGGATAAAACACCAAGTTTTTCCGACTTGAGGAAGTCGGAAAATAGCCGACCTCCGAACTTGGACATGGATATCCGACCTCAAGCTGAAGTTGGAAGTGACCGCACAGAAGCTGGAAGGATACGACAACAGGTCGGCAAAGGCATTTAGAAGTCGAGAATCGACCTCCTAACGGAAAAATCCGACCTTCGAACGGATGAAGACTCAGTTCATCCGACCTTCCGAAGTCGACCAACCAAATACAAGTCGGAAATCGGCAACTTATTCAACATGACGGAAGAAGAATGACAACTGTCTGCGGTGGATGAATTCGACTTGAAGGAACTGTTTAGCCCCACATGGGCATGTTATTGCAGGTTAACCCTAGTCGACCAATGACGGATAGGACAACCGACCTCGACAGAAGGTCGGATAACAACGGAACAGACTGGATGGAAGTCGACTGGACACTTCCATCGCTGAAACTCATAAATTCCGACCGGACCTTCGAGCCAGTTCGACTCGGATAGCCCCAAACTAGGCTCGTGGTAGCAGATTGAACGGTTGTAACCGACCACTTTTGAACGGAACCGCTGTACATGACGACCACACAGGCCGCATGACTTACATACAGCTTTCTCCGACCTGGACTTTAAGAATTCGGAACATAGCCGAATTTCCCCAGCCGCCGGTCGACTTACCGGTAGGCCGACCTTGGTCAAACCGACCTCGGTCCTATTCCCCATTCAGAGAGGATGCCTCGGCATTTGCAATTGCAACAGTGCCTCTCTATCCCTGACGGACGGATACGAGTCGGAAGTAAGTGTTTAACCGTGCTTATCCGACCTCGGTGAATGTAACCGGTCACGACGGGTAACCCGGGAACCGATGCCCCGGACCCAACTTACCGGATGAGAGTGGACAGGAGACCCCGTGGACGTCATCCTAGTCGTAATAGGACCCCCGGACAGATTTTTGCATTTTTTTAGCATTTCTCCTAACAACCGGAATTGTATTTTTCTAGTTCGATCTCTTTAACAGATCTGTTTTTGTAACCCCCTTGCTCACTGGAATTGTGATTAAACTTTATTTCATACTTTCTTTCGCGCTGTATACAACTTTCATTACACTTTTCTTTCACATTGTTCTCCGTTGCCAACAGAAGCAAGAAGCCAGCCAACAGAAGCAACACCGGTCCAACGAAACGCCCGAGCGGCTTCCGGATTTTTCGGCCGTGAGTGGCTTCCACTCATGGGTTCGGAAGTGAAGAAGGGACGGTCGACCAGACACCGGACTCCCACTGCCAGAGGACGCGTACTAGCGACCCCACATTGGGTCCGACTGGAGAGTTGTGCGGTACTGGTGCGGTACCGAGTCGGAGCATCCTTCGCAGGAGCTCGGATTCCCGCCCAGAGGCATGTCAGAGGCACATGACTGCGCCTGGTGCATACGGCCCACCATGGACGTACTTGCACCCATGCTTGCCATATCGCCTCTTTCGCTGTACGTACGTGTGCTGCTGCACTGCACTCATATCCGCTGAAGCGGATATACGCGGCGCACACACTGAGCATACTTGCTCTCTCGTCCCTCTCTCGCGGTATGACTCAGCGTTCATACGCTCGCGTTGGATTGAGTCCAGTCTGCGCATCATCACACAGCTGATGGCACACAGCACGTGCTTGCCGCCAGTTGCTTCTTTCACGCCTTGACGAACGCTCAAGAGCTCTTCTAGCATTCACTTGCTTGCTTAGCCATCAGTGCTTTGTTTTGCTTTCCCTGCTATTACGCAGCATTGTTCCCTTTATTTGTACAATAAAGCACACTCGTGATCTCCTCGCGCTTGCCTGTTACATATATAAACTCGCCGCGTTTTTCTTGTCGTACTATCTGCAATGATTTTGTTGTCATATTATTATCTTGTTGTCGTACGATCTTAAAATTCAGTTTTAGTATTTCGTCATCATGTACAGTATTCGCTGGGACGAGTGACCGTACGCGTCCGAATACTTTTGTCAGTTGCAGTAATAAAGTGGCAGCAGTTCCTTATTTCACTAGAGCGAATTTCGGCGGTGACCGTAGTGTTTGCAGTATCAGATTACTGCATTCAGACAGATACTGCAGTTTACTGGACGCGGGTCATGTAAAGGCGTAAGCGAAGAACAGCAAAATACGATTACTGCAAAAGACAAAAAAAAATAACCGAACTGCACGTTCAAGGCGTAATAACAGTTTCAGCCAAAAGATTTAGACGCCTAAAAACTTGGAACGCAAAGCCAACAAGAGTCGGTAGCTAGCTAGTAGCTAGCTACTACCCTTTTAGCTCATCCGCCTGCACTCTCATGCAAATTCTCTGCAATTCCAGCAAAGCTTTCTTTGTGCGCAGGGATGGAACCCAGTAGGGGCTACGAAGCATGTAAATGTATTCGAACCGATCTGACGAAGGAAGAGTTTTTTCGGACATCCGAATACACGTGCACTGCGACCCGACCGTTATTAGCAAGTACAGGAAAATGCAATTAGAAGACTTCCACGGCAAACCGAACCTGCAGGGGTGGCCCAGTACGCTGCTTCAGATCCGCAGACAACTATAGGCAGTAGCCAGGCAACCGCACTGCGGGGCCAGTTGCAGTCAGAAACTCCTCCATCAACCGTTGTAGCGTGCTGCGTTTTGTCACTTCCATCTTTGATGGTTCTTGGTTCCACTTTGCCAGTTCTGCGTGTTGTGACTTGTTGTCTTCATGAAAATCCTGTCAAGTTTTTACTGGTGAACGAAACACTTCATTGTGAATTGTTAGAATAATTCTGTAAGTGAAAGTAGAGTAGTAATGAGCAGAACCTGACATAATCTGGTGTGTGTGAGTTGTTGGCCCGATTATCCGTGTGTGTGTTGCAGTGAGCAGCGCCATGTCGCTCGTGCCGAGACCCCGCCAGGATTGCAGCGAGAAACAGTTGGGGAAGCTGTCGTTATCCGACACGAAGCTGCCGTTTCGTCACCAGGAGTTCTCTGGCCGTAGTTCTCTGGGCAACAAGAACATGTCGTCGTTGGAAGGGGAGCATAACGCTAACGCTGTGGCGCGACACTTCTCGGGTGGATTCGGGCTTCTGCAGGTATTCCAACGGTTAACAGCACACTGGCTGACTGATCACATAGCGAGATTAGTTTCTGGGTGTCTGGTGTCAGGATGATTTGGCTAATTACTGCTTTTGTCTGTGTGAGCAATTAATCTCAATATTTATCGACCCCTGCACAGAAATGTTAGAAATGTTCACTCATGACTCATGAGTCATGAATCTTAGTTAGACTACGAGTAGAAATCCTCATATGAATTCAACACTAATCAATTCCGCTAGTGGCGGTGTTTTGGTATGTAAAAGAGCTTTTTAATTTAAAAATCAGGTGTAGGGGCGAAGTTTTCTTTTATTGTAATTGCGTTTCATCACGTATAGAGTACTGAAACAGTTTCAGATTTAACAAATTTCATTTTAACAAATTTTTAACAAATTTAACTGTGCAACATAATTTCAGAATTATGAAAAAAATTTATAAAATAATTTATTAACAATTTTGTTGAACGTTTTTTGAAACTTGCAAGTATACAACATGGCTGCGCCTGGCCGCGTACAAAGACGGGAAATAAAAAATGAAAAATCCTTGAAAATCCCTTCTCTTTCACACAGGAAGGAACAGTTGTCGGCTCGTAAAGTCGTCATTACTAATTTCTTATTACTTTTCGAATTTTATCAGAACTTTTTTAATGGTTAAACTTTTTAAGACTAGAGAGAACGCACTGCGCCGATTCTCCACTAATACTAAATGGGTATCAGTTTTCAAATTTAACTGTTTTTAGTGTTCTGTAAAAATAATATAAACTAAAAAATTATTTTAATTGGGAAATTAAATTATACAGGCTGATGATGCTATTATGGAATCAAAATATCGATAAATAAATGGATTAAATAACTGATTAATAATATTTCGTAAAATACTGTATTGGTATGGAGGTTGGTGTTGGCAGGCAGGGAATGTAGCGGAGAATCTGGTGGCGGCCTTCCTGGGCGCCCACCGGCGCGTGCTGCAGAAGGTGCGGATTCTGCCGAATGCGCAGCAGCTGTTGGACGTCTGCGAGGGCTACCGGGGGGACGTCTTCGCCTTGCTGGCCGGCCGGTTCCTCCCCAGTTTGCCTTCTATGTGGACAACGGCGGCCGCACCATCCTTCGCTCCGGCCTTCCCCGGCCTGGATTTCTCACTGGTAGACCCTAATTTTCCCGGTTTTTGTGGCGTAGGACGCTGTCAAGTCGAAATACGTAATTGCAAAATGCTGTCTAGTTACCATTAATTTACCATTCGCTAACTGCTAAGTACCATTGCTAACTTGAAGCAGTAATATACCTATAATTTGAAGTAATATACTTATAATTTTTTTTCTGTGAATTTCTAAATAGCGTAATAATTTTGGTACGGAATGTTGGGTCATTGCCGTAAACAGCGGTTTGTAAAGCAAATTTCTTCTGAACCACCGCTTCACATCGTCCATACGCCCTAAGAGACGGTATTACGTGTTGTGAAGTCTGCGTTCGGGTTTATTATTATTATTTTCATTAAATGGAATTTTCTTGTTGTACGCTCGCTGTAATATCATTTCTCTGAAAAGGCCAGTTCTCATCGTTCTTTTTGCACTTTGCTTTCGTATTTACTGAAAAATTGTTAGAGCAAAATGAGCACACTCTACTCCGGTAGTGCGTAAAATAATACCCTAGGTAACACTGCTGTACGACATGTGGCATGTGCGATAGCGTTCATTTGGCCGGCACCGGTTGGCAGGCTCCTTATTCTGCAGTCCGTTTCCTAATTTTTGATTGACATTATTTTACTATAGAGAATGCGGTCGTATGCGCTCTGTGCTTGCTATACCGGTACAGACGCACATCTTCTTTACCGCTGTACACTGATTTTAATGTATGGGTACAAGTACCGTAAATGGATGTAAGTATTCATGTGAAATTGTGGACGCACATAGCCGAAAAGGAAAATTTAATATTGTCATTCTCTGTAAGTCTGTATAAGCCCCATCCTTATGGGATCTGAGGTACTGTATTGTTCCACTGATTTCGCTCCTTCTGCAGGTTGCCATGCATCGGATGTTGGGAAGCGTTAACAGCATGGTCGCGCACGAAAAGTAAGTTTCCTTTTTCCAGTTCAGCGATGCTTCGATTTTCCTCCGATTTGGTTACTTTCCGTATAAGTTTGAATAAGTGTTCACGGGTCAGTTGTCGCCGCCCATGTAGACTGATGTAGTGCGCTCCTTCAGTTCTTGCCAGGCATCCGCTCCTGAGTTTTCCATTTGGCAATTTCAGTTTGTATCTCGCGATAATATTACGATGATCTTTCTCGATGAATTTCATGCGCCAAAGTGTTTTACTTATCTATGCGATGGTTAAAAAAAGGAGAGAAAAAACACAGCCGTACTTTGCAATCAGTTTAAAGTTTAACCACGGTTTCACTACAACGTAAAGACTTCTCCGCTCCCGCCGCATTTAATCATTATGAGCAACTGTTAGTGTTTTCTTCTTAATGAGTTGGTTTGCTCAACGGTTCATTCGTAGTGTGGAAACCTTAAAGCCTTAAACCTTGAAGCCCTAACCTGAAAGCCTGTCACTGCTTTCGGCTTCTGTATCACTCGTACCAGTTAGCACATAATTCACTGAACGAAAAGGTGCCAAGTTGACCCGACGATACAGTACGGCCAACGACGACAATTAAACATGGCGCGTGACAAGCGTTTTTTTTAAAATAAAGGTCATCGCTGCCACAGGTGCTGTAAGGTGCTGTAGTGCCATTGCATGGTTTCTTTCAATTGGTTTGTAGACACCGGGAGTACTTGGGGACCTTAAATGTGGACTCCTGCTGGCGGACACGCGCTGTCATGGACCAGTACGCTGTGGATTTCCCGGACTGGAACTACGACTGGCTGGTTGTCTGGCTGAAAGTGCTGCGCGTCCTCTTCCCGCAATGGGCGGGCTACGTCGTCATGGAGGCAGTGGGCGACTTTGAGGGGGTGGAGCTGGATTACGGGGCCGTGCTGACGACGGATTCCCAGCCCAAAGTGGTGCTGATCGTCAAGGGGTTCTTGGGCCTGTGGCCGGGCTACGAACGGGCGGGGGAGTTTCGCCAGGAGTGGGACCTGCGCACGCTGTCGTAGCAGATGCGCGACAGCGGCGTCGCCCGCTTCCCTGAGCGCATGTTCTGGCTGTGCTTCCGCGGGGTGCACCCTGAGTGTGGCTGGCAGGAGGGAGCGACGTTCCCGCAACGCTTCTGGCCCGATGACGCCGACATGTACCACGACGTGCGCCAAGAGGAGTCGGTTAAAATGTTGTGCCGTTTCGCGCAGTTGGTGGTGGATCGAATGATGCGTGTCGATTGCATCCGCAATCGCGCTGTGCTCAGTTCCACTGGGGATAAGTAATGGGAAAGAGGTTTTCGCTTGTGGTTGTTGCTGTAGTTGCAGCGGACAAGTGTTGCGCCATATTCCTCACTCTGTTGTAGCGCTCTTTAAGTCTGGACAGTTGCTGTTTTGTACAGTATTTTCCCGAATTTTCATGTTTCTAATTTGAGTAATTTGTATAGCATAGCGATCGGATTCACCAAAAGCTTTTGATGTTTTGTTTCGTTCTGTTCGAAGCTTTTCTTTGCACCAAGCAGACAGTGCAAGAAATGCGACGCCGAGAAAATATTGCAAAAAACGATACCAGCATTGTATTAAATCGTCAAAATGAATCCTGATAAAGTTTTCGAATTTACTTGGTAATTCGAAAAAGACGAAAGCGCTAGTGAAGGAAGTCGGAAACAGATTCACATTACGAACCGGCGAGGTTCGCAGTCACGAGTATTTGAGACAGAACATTTCTGCAGCTGTGCCGTGAGATAATGCTGCTTGCGCCATTGGTACGGTCGAAAATTGTGTTTTCTTTATTCGGAAATACAGTGACAGTTACTATTGATACGGTAATGTTATCGCGATTCTGATTTTTTTTTTTTTTTGATAGCAATAACGATTTTGGCTGTTTTTTTAACGTTTAAATTTGAATCATTTTAAGTAGTATTACGCGAATGCACTTTTTGTAACATTGATGGCCTTTGCCCAATAAAAATGTTTTTAAAGTAAACGTGAGCACTCACTGATGCTACATATCCGTTTAAAAGCAGCATAATAATGCTTGCTAAGTTGTACACAACTAAATCCATAAAACAGCTATGCAAATATGCATTCACGCAGCTGCGTTTAAAAGCTATGAAAATACATGTGAAATGATAAACAAAGCAAGAAAATTATGATGGGAAAAATCACTTAAAAAAATGCGTGGCGAAAACAAGCAAATAGCTAGTAAAAGAGGCGGTGCCGCCAACAAGAAGCTGACCATAATAATTAACATCAACATTGACTGCACTTGCCACATTTAAACGCCACGCCCCGTCCATCCTCAGATAGTGTATCATCTGACTGAGAACCGTGACAAACCGCAGGTTGCACCGGCTCTCAACTTGCTTGAGCAGGAACGCCGAGTCGGACGCCTCCAGAGTCCAGTAGCCGTTGGGCACGCTACACGTCTGCATGACGAAATGGCCACCTGAACAAGTCCCGACCTGGCTGTTTGTCCCCCGGCATCGCGAATCTGATTGGTGGGAAGCAGTTCGTGACGTCACTGCCCGTCCACCAGCACTTTTACCAGCGCCATCTCATGCCGCCCGTCGAACTGCGGAATCAGCATTTTTCCGGGGGACCATGTCCAGTGAGAACCGTCATGCAGTAGCACCTCCACAGCAGCTCCCTCGATAGGCTTGATGGATCGCTGGCGGGAGCAGTCCCAGATCTTCCCGTATTCCACAAGCATCGCCTGTTGTCTTGGGCATCCGAAGTCGTCTAGCAGACGGGGGGAAGCGCTGTCGGTACCTTCCTGGCCGACCACGTAGCCAAGCAGCAACCGACCGTCAATCTCAACATCCACGGTGTTCCATGGGCACAACGATCATCCAGTGTCTTCGTAGAAGCGCATTCTTCTTAGATGTCAGTTTGAGGCGACGGATAATTGGCCGTGTAGGAAAGCGACTGACAACGCTAAATTAATTCCGTTGCACTAAAAAACTGCGAAGGACCAAGGACTAAGGTACAGTATAAACAAGCTTTTATAAAGAACAAATAAAATGCCGGGCAAGTAACCAACGATAGATTCGCGTAGAGAGATGTTTATTAAGGAGGTAGCTAGAGACAGTAATTTTTTCTTCCTGCTGTTCGCTGAAGATTTCAAGCCTGGCGCAGACTGAATGACCTCCATCGCATGACCGTTATCAGCAACCTAATCCGGATTCTGCTCCATCTTTTGCTGTTGTAAACCATCGGGTTCAAAGGATTTGCCTTGTCGCTATTGCTTTTGTCCCGGATTTGTTGTTACGCTGATCTCTTACATATCGGTTTGCTGTCTAAAGAACCGACTTTCGCAAGACCCTTAAAAACAGGGTCGTGCGTGTAGTGAGAAGAATGCTGACAACGGCTTGCCGCAAAAACCTAGCTTTGAAAAATTTCGTTTTAAGCGAACCCACGACAGCTGCGCTTTACGACATTTAAAAGGTGAGCAAGCTTATTTTAATAGGTTTATTACTGGTGCTAAGCAGGGCGCCCTCCGAAGGAAACCGAGAAACGGCTGAAAAAGGCGCCGATGGAGAAATCGAACCCCGGTTACGTCGTAAGATCCGCGAAGGCAGTACCACTGCACCACGGCGCAATACGTTGAAAATACTTGTAAGACTTTGTCGCTGTACATGAGCCGGTTCTTTACAATGATGTTGCGTGTTTGCGCATGACGGATTTTATTGTTTAATTGCAATTTGTTCAACTGTTTGTGTGCATTAGAGCGAACGAGCACGAGTTATGGCTTTGGCCGTAACGCTTGACAATCTAAGAATTGTTATGATGTTTAATATTCTCGAGAAGGCTACTGAACTTTCTTTCAGTAGATAGGTGTTATTCTGGTGTATGTGATGCCGATCATTTCAGCGACAGTCTGTTATTTCCTGTTGCATGTCATCTCATTGGGACTTGTGCTTGTCGTGTGGTTAAAGTTATCGAAGTGGCTATTTTGCCGCAGTGTTCGCGGCTAAATAGCCAGTTGGCTATCTTGCCGCACTAGGGTGGGCGAACTAGCTTGTTGGCTATTTTACCGCACACTGCGTTAAAATAGCTGCTAAGCTATTTTGCCGCACTATGGTCGGCAAAATAGTCAGTTGGCTATTTTGCCACACCATTATCGCAGCCTGTCTCACCGCCCGCTTTCAATCCGCTTTGTACGGTAAAGTGCCGGAAATTGTGTAAAACAGCGCTACTTACTCAAAACAGCGTCCAGAGGTTCTCCGGTGATGTCGGTTTCCGGACCGGTGAAGTTGGGTTAGTCACAGTTGACTTGCGTTGCAAAGTCGTCCTCTGGGACCGTGTAGTCGTTATTTTGGTTGACGTCCGGCTTAAGTTTGGTACCATGTTACCCTGTTGGGGTGACACCAAGTCGCCCTAGTTTCGCGAAGCCGCGGCACTAGTTGGCGCCTGGTGGAGCATTCCGCCCCTGAAGAAATCAGTTTACTGAGGCACCTACTGGATGCTCGAGACCGGATTAAGGTTTCACTTGGTTCACCGCATTCTCGTCAAAAGGGCAAGACATCATTCCGCGGTTTTGACCAGCGTTCCATCCGCTGTACACATGGTGAAGGGTCCAGAAGGCATTATTGCGTCCTGTGCCGTTCCATCCGCTATACACATGGTGAAGGGTCCTGAAGCCATTATTGCGTCCTGTGCCGTTCCATCCGCTATACACATGGTGAAGGGTCCTGAAGCCATTATTGCGTCCTGTGCCGTTCCATCCGCTATACACATGGTGATGTCCTGAGGGTCTAGAAGCCGTGTGCGGAACGGCACAACCAGGTACAACACAATGAGACAGCACAATAAGAACAGCACAATAAGAACAACACAAGGGGACACACAACCAGTCGAACAACTGTCAGGTTTCAACACAATACAGGAACAACTGACCAAAACAACACAGCCGGAACAACCCCAATAGAACAAACAACTAAGAACAACACAATAAGAACAACAGAACAACTGTCAGGAACAACACAATCAGGAACAACTGACCAAGACAACACAACAGGAACAACACAGCCAGAACAACTGTCAGGAACAACCTGACAAAGACAACACAAGCCAGAACAACACAATAAAGAACAACACAACCGGAACAACACAGCCAGAACAACACAGCTTGAGAACAACTGTCAGGAACAACTGGGAACAACACAATGAACAACACAGCCAGGAACAACACAATGGGGAACAACACCAGAACAACACAACCAGGAACAAGCACAGCGGAACAACACAACCAGGAACAGCATGCAATGGAACAACACAATGGGAACAGCACAGCCGAAGAACAACACAATAGGAACAACACAACCGGAACAACACAACCGGGAACAGCACAATGGGAACAACACAGGAACAACTGGCCGAACAACACCGGGAACAGCACAGCCAGAACAACAGCCGGGAACAAGCACAGCCGAACAGCACAGCCAGAACAGCACAGCCGGGAACGGCACAGCCGTCGGAGAACAATGGCCAGCCTCGGTCCCACGACAACCGGAGGATGAACCCTGCCGACCAGAACGGACGGTGCGACAGCCCACGCTGGCGCGAATACGACATCGGACCCAGGCAGGACGTCAGCAAAACCCGTCGGAAAGTGACAGCCGGACAATGGCGGCCAAGACTACGATGACCGACATCGAGAATGATCTTTGCCGCCGACGTAAATTGGTCCGGCCTCGGCGAGACGCCAGAAATACGGCGCCGGAGTAATTGACGGAAGAAGAATCGCGGTATTGAGGCGGCCGACCGGGTTTGGCAGCAAACCACCGGAAAATCCGGAAGGCGCCGTGCCGGACTGATATCGAAAGTTCATCTTGTCGGAAAAGCCGCAATCGTCCACCACGTCGATCAGGTTCCTCGTGTCAGGCTGTTCCTTCCGCCAGTTAGACCCATTGCTCAGGATGCGTTCGTGCGGCTGCGGCGTTTGATCTTGAATCCTCCTTTCTGTTCCAGTCTGTTTCGACTGTCCGTCCGTCTTCAGTGGGTTTGTCTGTCTCGCCGCATCGGTAGTCCGGGCACCGTGTCGTTCACTCCCACCGAACCAAGGAACCGTGGAGTAGCACTCCGCGGCGCCAGGCTGTCGTCAGATTCGTCTCCAAGCCGGCTACTCGTTTCTCAAGCTGTTCCGTCCGTGTATCGTTGTTCCCAGTTCCCGCTCTAGGTTGACGTATTTCAAAAAGGCATCCGTCTGCTCCTTCGGAGCTCTGACGGTTCATGCAATGAACTCGATTGAATCGACCAGAGAATT